GTAGTTTTTAAATGATTATTTCATTTAAGGGGGAAAAAAGCGATCGAAACCTACCTGTCAAAAATTCTTATGTACAGTTGTTTGATGATTTCCAAATCTGCAGTAGCTCCAAGAGACCTTTACAACTGCTGTCTAAAATTCTCCTTCTTAACTCTTCACTGGGTTCCTTAGACTTTCCCATTGTTCTCAGTATTGGTTGATCCAATGAGTTCTTTCAAACAAATCCTTTTCATGCTGGTAAAGAGAAACTACCAGTTGTAGTTGATCATGATCACCAAACAGAAGACCTTGGCCCTATTATATTTTCTCCCACCTTCCTTTTAAATTTTCTTTCCTGTCTGTCAGCTTAGACATTGTCATACTACACATATGTTGCAATAACTGAAATAACAGAAATTGATAAACAGATGAAAGAAACACACAAACAAGAGGAGAATTTATAGAGCTCATGTTGAAATAAATCAAAATATATTTGGCACAACATTGCATTCAGATCATAATTCCGATTGCAAAAGCTGCCAGGCAAGACTGCTTTAAGAAAAAGAACCCTTAGTACATCTTATTTAAAGATTAGAGTATAGATTTGAGCCTGTATACTTTTGACCCTGTGTGGATTAGCGAAAACTCAAAATGAATTTAGACCTTTGCACTAAATTCTTTATCTTAAGTGATTAAAGATGTATACAATCATGTCACTTGATAATGAGAACGATTCTGTTCCCTTCACAGGCAAAACAGCAAGGCTATTTTAAAAAATGTTTCAAGGCTAAGCTAAATACTAGCTGTCTGTGGACAGCTAGTATTTACAGTAAACATAAATTAAATCTTTGCTATCTGCATTAACCGTAATGTGATATCTGCGCAGTTGGTGAGAGGAGGAGGATTGGTCAGGTGCAGGACTAAAAGGCTCAGAGCTCCCAGTTGATGCACACAATCTGAATCTGGGTTTACACTTGAGCATGTTGCCAGTAAAAGGTAATACAGTCAGGCTCTGATGGACGTGGCTATCAAGCTGGAGGCTATCAATCAGCTCCAGCTGGTTTTGAATGCGTCCCACCACGCAGTGCTCTGGCCCAGGGTGGAGGAGGAAAAGTCAGCTATTTCACGCCCTCAGTTTGGACACTTAATCACACAGATGCACACGGTATTTCCTTTGTGTTCCACCCTTGCTGATCTCTTGCAGAGCTGGATCTAAGGTAAGCAGCAGGTTGGACATGGATAATGAGCCCTTCTCTTCTCCAGCTCAGAGGGCAGCCATCCAGACCTACCAGTAAACAAAAATAAAAACTGCTGTAACAACCGGCCATTAGCCTTTTGTTGACAAACTGCTCGTTTCCACTTCTCATTACGCTGGCATCCAAGTTTAAATTAGAGATGTGGTACCAGTTCCTAATTTTGTGGTTCTTGGCTTAAGTGGTTTATAAAACCCATAACTATCCAGGTTGCAACAGGATGACAATCAATAGGTCGTCTGTTATCAGTGATGGGTCTCCTGCTCGTTATGAGACCTGTTTGGGATTAATTCCGCTATTTATCACAAATGTGACATCCATTAGATGGGGGAGAAAAAAAACTGATGGTAGATTATGAACTGTCCATGTCCATATGAGACTGAATTCCATCAATAGCAAACCTTTCACTGAAAGAAATGACCTCATTATTCATTCATTCAACCTTGGAGGAAATGAGCTACAGAGACGGTAAGAACAGGAATGAGTTTTATAATGGAGCACCAACTGCGGACCAATGTTACAAGCCAGCAGTTGTTGAATATCACAAAAAAATAGCCTCAAGTTATAAGGGTGCTCCATTACCACCTAGTGGTGTTTTCTAGCAAAAACAGAACCTGGAAGGCCAACTAACCATTTAACTAATTCTACTATTAAACCATTAGTTGAAACACTAAAGAGGATCAAATCTATTTATCTCATTTACCCAGCACACCACCAGTTCAAGTAGTTTCCCTTTGGGAAGTTGCAATAAATTATTGCCATCCAAAGAAACTAAATCAAAAATTGGAACTTCCTCTACTCCCTGCGAGATTTTCGAAGCAGAGAAAGTCTCCAATTTGATCCCATGCATCCACTTCCCTTAAGCTGTCACTGTTGCCTTCACACTAGATGCATCTATGGGTATGTGACACTGATGCAACCATACTGTCATCTGACTACACTGGTCAAGTTTAAATTACTTCAGACATACAGCAATGTAATCTGAACATTTCATCATAATTGTTGGTGCACCGTGCTAGTTCAGATACCTATATACATCAGCTGAGCAGGTCCTATTATTTATTATACTAAAAAAGGCATAGATTCTTAGATATAAGTTAAAAAACCAAAACCTTAAAATCATGTTTAAAGAGAAGCAGATGGACAGTTACTGAAGTCACTGCCACATTTCTTTTGGTCTTGTCAAGATACTAGGTGAGGAAGGCTAAGCAAAAGCTGACACCTGAATAATTAGGCAAACAACACCATCTACTGGAAAATGTAAGACATGCACTCAAACGCTAATAAAATTAAACTGCATGGACATCAGCACCTGCAAAAGTACAGTACAGTAATTATGCATGTGTGTAACCAAAAAGGTTTTACACTTTAGTTTCAAAATCTGTTAATTACCATTTAGGCTAGAGTAACATATTGTACTCCAACACCAGGTTTTCCAGTGTATATTCTACCTTTTGCCTTGGCAGCTGAAATAGCCTACATCTCCAACTCAACCCCAAAATGAATAAGTAGAGATCATCTTACTTCCATACTTCTAATCAACTTGTATAAATAAAGAAATAAAAAATTCATAAAATTCTTTATTCATAAACTTGATGCAAGTTTACAAATTACTTTACATGGTCAAAATCACCCTTGCAATGGAAAAAAAAAAGAAAAAGAAAAGAAATTAAACGAAAACAAAGCATGCCGACAGTGCATAACTTTATAACCCGGCCACCGCAGTTAATGAAGCAAGGTGAGGAACCCAGTTTCAGGCTAGTTCAGTCCTCCGATACGTTACTCGTCAAGCCAAGGTTTTGTTAGTCAGACATATGTTGGTGTAATAAAAGCTCTTATTTGGAGCACAACAGACTTGAGTACACCATTACCCCAAAAAGGTCAAGTTAAAGATGCAGGATTATAATTGATCTGATGGCACAGGAATCTGAACTGCGGCTTTTGTTGGGAACCCCGGCATCTTTGAAAAAGTAATCCAACCAGGTAGGATGTCTTGTAAGTCCATGAGTCTCATACTGTAGCTGACCTGGTTCATTAAACAGCACACAGGGAGAAACAATTCTGTGCACTGATGTAGTAGGAAAGCACAAGTACACATGTGTTGAAAAACTGGATACATCTATTAAAAAAAACAAAACAAAAAAACAAAAACCAAACAGCCAACCACTTGTCTTTGGTTGCTTAGGGGAAACGATCCACTGATAAATGGACATGCAAAATACAGCAATATCAAAGACACAGGGTAGATGTTTCCTTAACTCCTGATCAAGTGCTTTATAATCAAAAAACATCTCTTCTCCATTTTGTTAAATCATTCCAAACACTTGCCAAGTAAATATTAACCTCAGAATCCTATCTGCAATTTGACAATAAAACCTACAGGTAAAAAGGGGGCGTAGTTTTAAAACAGCCCAAAAAAAGATTGCCAAATTCAATTTTTTTTTCCTTTTTCATGACGATATTCTGAAGCAAGAGCTTGGAAAATCGAGTGTGCAGTATGTATTCCTGAGTTTGCTTCTCCAGATAATGCAGGGGTGGGCTCAACAATATTACCGGAGTGAAGTGAATACCAATGCACATCATAACAGTTAACAACCATGCCAATAATCCATAGTCATGTTGAGATTGTTGTGGTGAGAACAACACAAGAGGGTGATTCTCGCCATATCCTGCAAGCCTCAATACATGGCAGACGTGCTGAACACGAACAAGCTCTATGCTTTGTACCCATCTCACACTGTTGAGACTGAGGTCAGTATCACTGAGGAAATTCTAAATAAACTCAAATATGAGGAATGCCTGTATGAAATAGCATAACTAAGCTTTCTACGCTGGTCATCAGGACAACATACTGAAAACAATGCAAGTAACCACACAACAGAACACCCACAACAAACGTGTAACTGCATTAATTGGAATGCTCCACAGTTTCTGCATATTATTCACATTACATCAAAGCCTCAGCATGCTGAGGGGTACAGCAGCGCTGAGAGTGGTCATGAATAGTAACCAGAGAGGTGGTAATGGGAAGAGCTAGGTCTTTCCTGTGGCAAATCTGAACAAATATTTATCAAACCTGACCAAATATTCTGGAAATGGAACAGCCTCGAGTTGATCTTGCCAAGTGTGAAGCTAGAATGGTAAGGAAAGGTAAATGGAAAGGTATATGGTCAAGACTATTGCTGTGAATTTGTAGCTCTGACTGAACTTTAAAACAGCCATGAGGTCAAGGAAAAGTCAGCAGGTAAAAGGTCACTTTTTTCCTAGACTGCAAAATTGGAAAAGTGGTCAGGATGTAGACCAGTTACAATAACTAAGCAGGTAACTATACTGTTAAGGTCTTAAGACTAATTTTCAGCTCAACAAAACTCCACAAGACTGTCTTCACTGCATAGCCTTACTGAGGTTCGTCTGGTTTAAGTGATTAGATATGAATAGCCAAACCTTTGGCATGCCAGGAACAGCTGCATCTATGCCAATATTGTTAGGGTCATTGTAGTTAGAGGTGCCATCAAATAAGGGGAATGATTACTGTCACTGCTGTCAATAAAATAAGGATATATATATATATATTTATAAAAACAACAAAAACCGCAGTAGTCATAAGCTTACATAAGAACATGGTGAACTTTTCTTTCCTTCTGCAAGAGTGTCAATGAAGCAACTTTCTTACTCTAAATGGGTCTTGAGAAGTTGCAGTGCCCCTGCAGTTAATAGTCAAGAGTATATTGTAATACAGTCTCTGCCCAGCCAAAGACCCCGACAAGGTTACATTATAAACAATTAAATCCTTTTGCAGAAATACAAATGTACATGTTTACATGTGGAGTTAAAATCAACTACATTACAGTGTAATCCAATCCGAACATGCCCCTGCTTTGCCTGATGAGATTTTCTATGTTGCCACTCAGGCACCACATCTCTCCTGCAGGAGGTGGTCCAGTGGCTGCTTGGGATGATAACAGAGATCTCCCACTCGGAGCCCAGGAGGATGCTGTTCGTCATTATGGGCTGTGCCACTCAGACTGGAAAAGTCTCATCATCTTCTTCCCCAACTCAAGGTTTCAAGCTTTAAAAGACAGAGGTTTGAAAGCAAACTATCCCCAGAATCATGTTATTCCAGAGGAGGGGTCTTGGCATGAAAGATAATATATGAGCACAATATTACAGAGGCCATCCAAGGAGAGAAAAGGTGGGGGTCCTTCCAAACACTAGCATTTAAATGTCCTTCCCAGCTACCAGTGCATCATATTAGGGAATGTCACAAGCCATTCTCAGATCCAGTTTGTGACCAGAAAGGCCTTGTCTGGCAACTGGAACATCAGACTGCCACTGCTGGAGGATAAAGCCATGCCGCACCTTTCAATCCACAGCCAGCAAGTAACGTTGGCATGCTCAATGCCAAAACCAAAGGGTGAGAAAGCACATAATATTGAATCTACCGATTTAATGGAGTATGGGACAAATGTTGAATGAAAAAGATAATCTGATTGCATCAGACAACAGAAGTATAAAGGGAAGTAATATCTGAGGAGAGGACACTTTTTTCAATAGCTAATGAAATTGGATGTAAATTTCATGTAGAGGTGGGATGTCTCTATGTTTGTGTGCTAGTTTTTGGGTTGTCAATTAATGGGAAATTTGGTATAGAGTTCCAAGTGTCATGTAGATAACAAAAATAGTTTGCAGGATAAAAACAATATTGGTCGCAAGGAAAAGGAAAAGAAAAATCTAAGACATATGGTCCCAGTTCAGGAAAGGCAACAGTCTGTATTAGCCATCCTCCTTAGGGGGTGTGTACCAGCCTAGGAAAGGAAGATAAAGGAAGACGATGACTACAGGGTAAAGGAAAACAAAGTCAATAATAGTGAATGTCAAAAATGATTGACCACATTACTTTCTACCTCACTGGCTTGCATCTGAATTTAGCAACATGTGTGGTGACTGGTGCAAGAACCAAAACCACCATGCAATTTTTTTTCAGATGTTAGATTAAGGACATATAGTGCACATTAGGATCTGGCTTTGTATGTTTGTTTTTTTCCCCCAGCAGTCCTTTTCAATTGCATTCATTGTCATTAATCATATATATATATATATATAATAAATATGTTCAGTTCCTAAATTCTTTATTTTATTTAATCAAAAACAGGTTTTATTGTAGCAGAGTGACATGAATCAGAAGCAGACTACATTCAAATGTAGTCCATGTTAGGTATATATACACACCACAGTTAATGATCCAATATCCCTCGGCTTTAATGGCTGAGAGGGTTTTGGTTTCAGTAAACAAGGTCTGCAATGTATTCTGTATGAAACTGGAGACAGAAAACACTCACCGTTCTTTTCATGGATCTGAACCAGGGATTTGTAGGACTGCTGTGCTCTGGCAAGATTGTACTGATTCTGCATTAAAAGATGAAAATAAAGCCAACTTTACCATGAGCACTGAGTTTAGGATAACATTGGAGAATAAGCAAATTGCAACGACAGCTGTTTCCTACAAGAAAGGTGATTATTATCTAGCTAGCTCTAACATCAAGACCAAAACAGTGTGCAAGGTAGATGATAATGAAGACACTTTTTTGTCCTTCATACCAGACTGCATTTACAAACACCATCACCATTCAAGCTAGACTGCACCTGTAGTGCACCACACACTACCTTCAGTACTAAAGTGTTAAGAATTCTGGGTTAATATATAATTTCCTTAGGGATTAATAAAGTATTCTGATTATGATAACAGAGATATTTTAAACTACAAATACAAAATCGAAACTGTTCCACTTCCATTAATTTGTCCATTTTTGGACAAATTGAAAATTTACAGGGAATAAAATGTGCAATAAAACCTTTATACAGTGCAAAACCTGTAGCAACAGTAAGATGATGTGTCCCTTTATTCTCAGACTCACTGAAGTCCTATTTACATTAGTACCTACTCTGATCGACTCAGCATGGTTTGCCACAGTTTTCAATTAGGTCACAGTACCTGGTACCAGATACATTTTTAGTACCTGCTCAGATCGCTCGGGTTTCAAGCGATCCAAGCAGGTACCAAAATGTGGTGTCTTCAGACTGCATGCCACCGACTGGCTGGTCAGTAGCGCCATTCGATGAGTCATAAGAGCGTCTCGTACACGTAAAAATGAAAACCGCCATTTTCGAAACCCAGCAATGAGGGATATGGCTACAACAAACAACTTGCCTCAACATCCACCTTTTTGTAGCGTTTGTGTCACATATTAATTAGATCACAGGACGCTCGGACAAGCTGCTATGACGACAACCACACAAGTTAGGTAGTACTGGATTATAATGGAAAACCCGACGATCCGAGTTGAGTCGTAGCAATCCGTGGGGAGTTGATCCGAGTAGGTACTAATGGAAAAAGGGGCTTAAGTCATCAACTGTATATATTTTCACAAATGGGCTGGTGTGGTCCCCTGTCTGACTCAATTTTACTTTCTTCTTTTTGGTATTTTTTTTTTTTAACTATCCAACTTATAATAGACTAATCTAACATCAAACATGAAGACTGGCTTCATTTTAAGACTCTATATGTAGACTATACATGCAAACCTGCAACATGTTTTACACAAATAGCCTTAAAAGTGGTGTGCAGGAAAAACACAGGTGAACTACACTTATTATCAGATCTGTTGTCATTAGGAAAGAATAAATTGCAATAACTGAAAACTATTGCAATGTCATGCCGAGAAAGATAAAAAAAGCTGTTTTGCTTCCTATCTGAGACAGCCTGTACTGTGCATCCCTACTCAGTCCAATTTGATAGGAATTAATAAACAAATCCAACATTCACTACCAAAACAAGAGGCTGTTGCACAGTATGACTGGCCATCACTTAGAACCATGTAACTGTGTGAAAGCCCCTGTCACTTTGGGTCACATAATTCACAATGTGAATCCACCATTATATCAGAGCTGAAATGAAGCTTCCTCACTTACTTTATTGGCTCCAAACTGCACTCTGGCTTTTCCTTTAACTAAAGTGGCATTGATCTGCATGATAACAGACTCAATGGAATAGGCACTGCTCCAACCCTGCAATCAGAAAACCAAATGTCACTAACAGCAGGTTTAAAAAATATATATATTCAAAGAGTAGAAGGGGAAAAAACCCATTGAAAAACAAACCAAGGCAATACCTAAATTTGCCATCTGCATTTTATGAAACCATTCTGAAAATACCTGTTTAGTAAGAAGTTCCATGCACAGGGCACCTCCGCCAAGAACATAACTAAAGCACGGGAAAGGAAACAATAAGGCAGAGTCACTTTTTAAATCTTACACTAATGCAGTCTCTGCTTGATAATGGCAACTTAAAAGGGAAGAAATTATAGAAGTGTACCAAGAAAATTAACTTACCCTCCAGAAAGCACAGGAGAAACTACCCGGACAAACGGTGGATCAAAAGGGAAATTATCCTGCAGAAGTAACCAGAAAAAAGGTTCATTTTACTTCAAAAGATTCCTACATTGCTATTTACTTTGATTTTGTTAGCAACACATCAAGTTTACTTACTTTATATGAGAAGTTTAGTAAAATGTAGTCCATTCCCTCCTTTTCCTTTAGCACTTGTAAGTCACTGTGTAAAGGGCTATCTGGATCCACCCTGTAGGTCATAAAAATCGCACAGTTTGCCTTTTTGCACATATATATAATTTTTTTTTTTTTTTTTTTAAATTCATGACTCGATATCCTAAAGTTACTTACGTCCTCAGTTTGACGTGCCATTCGTATAGGCTGTCATTAACAAGTTCAACTGAATAGATGCCTGCAAAAGAAATTGTTTAAAATTGAACCTTCAGATATCTCCAATTGCAAGGCCTAGTAGCAGACTCCCTAATAAACCCTGTCCTTTTGATCAGCTCCCCCTTGAGAGTGGTGCGTAAGACACGGAGGCAAAGTATAAAATGCATTTTGTTTAATATGACCCACCGTCACATGCTGTCAGCCAATATTCTTATTCTACGGTGTGTTGCTATAGAAAGATTGTCAATAAACAGTAAAGGGTGTAGATGCCTACAGTACAATCACCACACCCACATGAGTGTTCATGTCCTGACCTCATTAGGACAAGACAGAAAGAGTAAGGTACCTCACAATGGTGAGAGTAAGGAATTGAGCACACTAAACATCTTCCCAAATACTTTCCTCTGACCATGTAAATGCCACGGCTCTCATATTGCAATGCCTAACGTTCAAAAATATTCCTCCATTACAAACAAAGACAGGACCCATGATACATTTATGTGTGATTATTTTTTGTTGCTCAAAGGTTAAACAAATCAGTGTGTACTGTTTATACCTGTCTTATAACTCTGAGACCTGTAGATCTCTCTTAGTTCCTTCATCAAACGGTCAGAGGCTTGCACTGAGCCAGACACAGCTCCCTGGAAAATATAAGACAACTATAAAAGACAAAGAATGCAGTCCTAGGGGTAAAGCTGCCATTTTTACTTAAGCTGGGCCAGTATCAGAGACAAAGCTTTATCATATCAGACATCAATATTTATATGAGTACCCCACATTGAGGGTATCTTTTGTTATGTATATATATGTGTGCACATGAAACAGTCTATGAACTACAACAGCTACATTCCTGGGAATATTAACCCCCCCCCCAAAATAAACAACTTTAATGTTGTTTTCAAGGGCAGAAGTTTAAAAAAAAAAAAAAAGTAATTCACTAATGCAATCACTAATGACAAACGGGGTATACCGAAATGCTGCATAGATTAATGAATTAGAAGCAAGGTGTGATAAATATTAACCGGCCTTTTTTCCTGAAACTTACATTCAAATGGTCCTGGCGCTGGTTCTTTCGGATCTTCTCCAAGATTGCCAAATTCTCCTTCTCAATCCCATCATCCTCAGATTTCTTCCCATCTACGGGCTCCTCCTCTTTCATTTCATAGTGGTCCAAATCCTCGATGTCCTGTTGGATCATACTTAATATTTCAAACATTTTAAATAACAACAGCATACACATATACAACAAAACAAAAAGCCCAGGGTTAAGACAATTGCAGTGTGATAAGATGAGAAAAGTTATTAGTGTTTGATTTTATGATGATAGTCATACATGCATAACTTGTGGATATTCAAACATCAAACATTTTTCAAATTATAATACATAAACAAGGCCAAAAGTACTCCACATAAAATCCATACAAATTAAGGAGTCGAGGGAAAAAAATATAAACAAAGACAAAAAAAGTCAATTCACAAAGCATGACTTGGGCTTACTGGGTTTCACTTTAAATTTGACCCTGGGTAGCAACAGCATTACCGCATTCTTGGAAGAGACCTCCGTGCACAGATACCAAGACAATTAAAAGTATTTTATAACATCTAAATTCTGTCTTTTTGTTGATCAACATCAGTATGAAATATGAATTATTAGAAGGAACTAACTGTATCATACCCCACCCCTTCTCCTTGAAGCAATTTTAAAATCTTGTTTTATAAACTTGTTTTATAAACTTAAACATACTTAACATACTTAACAAACTTAAACATACTTTAATGTGTTTAAGTTTAAGAAAACAGGTCATATATTTGCAACTAAATGTTTGGAAGAAGACTTTTGAATTCTGTTTTCACATTTATCCCAGAAAGTTGCTTTCAGACCATTAAACACCACTGAGGTACCAGCTAATTTTTTTTTTAAATAAATAAGACCTTAAAAAAAATCTGATCTATTGATTTCTCTCATTACTTAATGATAGAGCTGTACTACTGATAAATCTGTTAACTAACAGTGTCTGAATTTTTGCTGACTTTCCTTGCTGATATTTACTAATATGTTAGCTCTTTTCTACTCTTACTGACCAAAGGAGCTTAAAATTCAAACATTCATACAGCATATATTACACTTTATACAGCATATATCACTGAGACTCGCGCACAGCCCTGATTTGGCTGCAGAAGTTGTGTTGCCTTTAGCACCCATGTGTTTAACCTGTTCATATATTTTTAATCTTATAGTTTTATCCTACTTTGGGAAAGAAAAAAAATCAGCAGACCCTTTCATGTTGATAACTATGAGGAATGTAAAGGCAGACAAGGAACAGAGATTCTGGGCATGTTGAATTTGTTTCAAAGTACAGGCTCCAGAGTAATGCATCAGGTTTTTTAGACTGAAGAGGATTACTTACTTCTCCCATTTCCTCCTCATCTTCTTCTTCAGATGTGACCTCCTCTGTTCCATGCTACACACACAAAAACAACATAGACCATAAGGAGTTAATTAGTTTGCAAAATAATATTTTAAAAAACAGGAGAACACATTTTACTAAACATGGGAAGTGCCAATTCACTGACTTGAAGAAGAGCCTCACATGAATCACCAAGGGTGTTTATAATGTAGAGGGTCATTTCATAACTAACTATAAGTGGTTTTTGAGTGCAAAATAAAACATCCCAATCTACATTAAGGTATTTTAGCAAGGCATATTCATTAGAAGTAATCTGAGAAGCTATTGTCCATTAGGCTGGATTTGACAACATCAAGTGGGTAGACTTGCCTTTCTGTCTTGTCCCACAGGGCCTGCAGGCAAGGGCTGGTCCAGCATCTCCACATCAGGATGTTGGGGAAGATTATACAGTCGACATAGGTCACAAATTAGTTTCTTCAACTGCTGTAAAAGCTTGAAAGGAAAAACAAAATAAAGAATTGGAGCAACTATACAAGTTTGCAAATAAGAATACAGAGCAAGGCCATATAGCAGAAACATTGACTTTCACATGTTTCTGGGAAAAAAAAAAAGTTGCACACACTATGAGTATAGAAATTAGTTTTGGATAAATGACCCACATATAACTTTTAAAGCTAAGAATTAAACATAGAACATTAGCAGTGCTGCAAACAAATGTGGGAAGACTAGCACTGTATTTAGACAAAATGGATGGATGACAATCTTTAAACAGGTGTATTATGCTGTTGTAAATTTAGTGCAGCTGAGAAACTGTACCACCAAAAACATCTGCGCTTAAAAAAAAAAAAGAAAAAAAAAGGTAACGGAGATCTTATCTATCTACAAAGACAAAGGTTTGTCTCACTCAAATGTCACACAGCTTCACAATGTTGTAATCCTTATATAGACCAAATTAAGTAGCAAACAAAAGTAAAACCAACCAAAAAAAGAAGGCCTCCTGTCCAAACACTAACACTGCGCCCCTCCTCCCGAAAAAAGTACATAATGTACACCTCATACCAGGGATTACATAAGAACCTACTTGAATATCTGACTACTTGTCAGATATTTTGACCTCTAAAATTGTCCTGGTGATCTAATATCACTGGAACAAACAACAAACCTGCTTGTTGACATGCTTATCAAATTCCTTAAGTACACGCACACACTGACGCACGGAAGACTTTTAGATTTGAAAGCCTATGTAAAAAGGTGTGCATTTTGTAAACACAACACTAGTTTAAAAAAAGAAGAAAAAATGTTAAATTAAAAAAAAAAAAAAAAAGGGACGGGGGGCGGGGGGGAGGAGACAAACACCAAAGCAGAAACTAAAGGAGCCAGTAGAAAAACAGAAAAACATCCATGGCGCACAACTGTGTGATACTACAGGTAAATGAATGAAATTAAAAAAGAAATGAAGAGAGGCAAGGGAAGAACAAGTGCATCATGGGACACCCCCCAGCAGCTTGAGTTTATAGCAGCATACCTAGGGGATGGTTAAGGGTCACCTGATCCAGTTTCCTCTATAAGCTTCATCAGGAACTGAGAATTTTAAGCCTACTCCTAAAAATGTATGCCTGCTTCCTAAACCTAAACAGAGAACTGCTTCCACAAGAGAGGAACCCGATAGCTGGAAGCCATACTTCCCATTCTATTAGGAACAACAAGAAAGTCTCCACTTTGAAGAATTTAACCTGTTAAGAATTTAACAGGTAGGCAAATAAAAGACACTAATATGGAATAAATATGAGCCCCAAGTTAGTTAGTTTTTGACATGTAGGTCTAGCCTAAAAATATGCTCCTCTATACGCCTGCAGGTGCATTTTGAATGACATGGGGAAAAATAAGGAGTGACACTAAAGTTGGAGTTTGCTTATGCTAATAGTGTCTTGGATTAATCTAAAATACATGTTGGAGCCATCTGTATTGTTGATAATTGCTTAAAAATATGGAAATATGTTTCGTCCTTTAAAGTGAGGCCAGCTTACATCATTATTTGGTTATGGTTTTGAGGTTGTTAAAGTGATGAGCAGCTCTATTCCTAAAGTGTCCCATGTCACAAAGTGCACTAAGAATATAAGGATATCTACCAGAGTGCTGCCTTTTCTCACATCTTCCAATCTCTCCAAAACTTGAGCCAAGCTCGGGTCATCAGAGTCCACAAACCAAATTGGCGGTGTAGATGGATAAGATTCCTAGAAACAACAAAAAACACAACACAATGATACCAATGCGTTTAACACTTATTTACACGCGTTGCGGGATTTTTAACGCATTGGATTTTACAATTACATACGAAAATTTGAGTTGACGACATTAGCATTCTGGATGCATCGTGAGCTAAATGCTGGGATTGCCTAAAAACATTGCGTAATGTGAACTGCCTGAACAAATATCACCTAACAAATAGCGAAATGACACTGGTTATTTCAACTATGTAAAACCTGTCCTACTTAGCGTCAGACTGTACGGTTGTGAAGGTAGCTTATTACCTGACTATCAAGTTAACCGGCTAACTTTAGCTCGCTAGCTACCAACAAGGCAAAACCCCGGCATCTGAATTCTCGTCCACTTACCGTTATATTACAGTGGATAATTAATAGCTTTTCCCCAGTTACATTAAACTGGCAACTCAGTTCGTCAGGTTTCCAGTCAATTATCCTGAATCGTTCGTGGTTTGGATCAAAAATGGACTCCAAAAACTTCAGTTCGGCCTTCAGCCCCGACACCGACATCTTCCACGCATCTCCGGCTGGGCCGCTGGGGAGGGGGAGAAGTCGGGACTTAGCTTTCAGCTAGCTAAAGAAACAGCGTAAACTGTAGTAAAAGAAAATGACTATAAAAAGTGGCAAAGAGACGGCGGTCTGCCCCAGCGGATTTAGCTGGATACGCAGTGCCAGCTATAAGTCTCCTCCGGTCAAATTTCACCACAAACGGATGTATTTGCTAATGAAGCAGCTAGTTAGCTCCTAGCTTTAGTCAACGCCTGAAAACAGCGCAGTGCTTGGCAAGCTGCTAGCGAACGAGTTAGCGAGCTAGTCCGTTGTTGTCTTTCCGTCTATTGTTGTTGTCTGCCTATGATAACAACATTTTAAGGCTCTCGCGGTGTTCTGAGACCGTCTCCTTACAGTCCCATCGTGGTGTTCTTTATTATTTACTTAATCGGAAATCAACTACACACTCTGTACGATCTGACCTAATATCCCGCTACAGGGGTAGTGTTTTTCATCCCGGTGCACAACTGTAGCTGGCCTCTTGTGGGGTTTAAAGATGGCGTTCCGCAACCTCCCCGCTCCTGCAGAATCCCAGCATTCAGTGCGTCTTTAATTTATTTTCGGTGTGAGAAAATAAAGGTAAGTTCATGATAATAATGTCATTTAGTTAGGCATTTATTTGAGGACAAAACTTTCACTCTGATGTTCATTTCTTTGCAAGTAAAGCTAATTAATTTCCTAATTTACATATTATATACAGAGTAAAATTTCATGCACAGAATTTAGAATTTAGTTATTTCTAGTGCTTTGAGCATAATTGCTCAAAAAACACAGTGTTGTACAAGTGTGGGTGTGCAATAATGATTAATGTTGTTTTACAGGGGGTCACATGTTGTTCCTGTTATATTTCATAGGGGAGCAGTGCCACCCTGTGCCACCCTTTAGACATGCCCCTGACCAGGGGATGATATCAGCACAGATATAATGAGGCTTATCTATTTATTTATTTTAAACAGCTAGTAATTGATGCCTGATAAAGCAGTAAGTTATCATTTATGAGGTGAATCCATTTGTCAATATTATATGATGAGTTCTGGCTAGCCTTGAATATGAGCAACCAAACAATTTAACAAAAACATTTTTTTAAAATATATTTTCCAAAAGTTAATTATTTATTTGAATTTTCAGTAGCAAGCATGTCAATCTGAACTAAAATGGTCATTAGAGTGTAATACCATGTTTTGATAATATTGACTTGCTGCTTTATTTAAAGTTTTAGCCTAAGCAAAATATCTGTGTGTGAGTGTGTGTCTGTGTATATAAATCAATGTTTAATTAAAAAAACAAATTTTCATCTCCCCCCAAGGAACCTCCCAAGGATCAGTCCCATCCATCTTCTGGCCAAAAACCTCAGCACAACATAAAAACTCCTGTTAGGCATCATAGCAGCTAAGATGAATGGGCACTAATTTCAATACATGAGTGGGGCACAGAAAGGAATTGACAGAAATACTACCTGGGACAATGTCACGGTACTGGGCCATGTGGCCCAGTGTTTGAGTTCTAATGCATATTTTTGTATTCCCATGTTGTAGTGTAACACATCTAGTTGTTTTCTAGTTTGCAGTTTAGTCCTTGGTGTCTTAGTCCCTTTTGTCATCTCTCCCTGGTCCGTGCGTCTATCTGTCATGTTTCATGTCTGTATGGCTCTTGTTGTCAAGTTCATGCCATGTCTATGTCTTTGTGTTTCCTGTTTTATTTTGGAAGAGTCTGGTGTTCTTTGTTCATTGTAGTTAGTGTTACTCTCCCCTGTATTGTCATTATATTTCATTCTAGTCAGCTGTGTTCTCGTGTGTCTCCACTTCCCCTGATCACCTCATGTGTGTATTTAAGTCCTCAGTCTTCCTTTGTTCGTCGCTGTGTCGTCTGTTCAACTTCCCCCATGTTACGCCAGGTTTCAGGACTCTGTGTTGGTCATGTTGCTTACGTGTAGTGATGTGGCGTTCTGTATCGAGGCCTTGAAGCTTGTGTCGAGTAATGGAGGGGGCGTTTCTGCGATGCGCGTATCGAGGCTTGCTTCATTTATGGGAGGAGCTGAAAATGATGACGTCCGAAGCCCTGCTGCCCGGCTGTACCACGTGACTGGTTCATAAAGTGGTTCTAACTTTGCCGCAAGCTATGACAGCGATATAAACCCCTCAGACTTCAATCAAAAATGTAGGTGTTTGATGGAGAGTTGCGGTTAGTGAGAGTTTGGAGACAGTTTGGAGGTTTATGAGAGTGAGGAGAGAAAGTCAGGAGAGAATGGAGCCAGCTAAGAAGAGGAGGATGTCCTCCCCTGTGTGGGAACA